AAGCCGGTGGGCGGGTCCCACGCAGCCGGAAGACCCCGGGGCGGGGCCGAGCACAGCTTGGTGACGCGTCTCACAGTGTTACTGTGTTGTTTGATGGAAAGTCGCTAAGAGTGTAAATCACACGCACACACGCGCGCACACACACCTGTACCTGCGTGAGGTGACGGACGTGGTGACTGGCCTTGTGCCCGTCGAGTCACTCTGCGCATCGGGCCATCACATTGCACACCTTGAACTTACACTGTGTTATATGTAAATTATATCGGTAAATCTGAAAAAAACAAATTAATCTTTCAGTGTCGTAATGATCGAAAAAGGAAGTGGTGTTTACGGAAGGGTTTTGAATGGCGTGTGGAAGTTGGTGGCACAAGACGCGGCTCTTCCGGCACCGGGAATGAGATGGGGGGTCCAGGCGACGGTGTCGGCGTCGGTCGCCATGGCCAGGAGATGCAAGACCCTCCTCCGCTGATGGTGACGGCGACCGCATTGGCCGGGGTGCTTAGCCGAGGGTGGCCGGGGAGGCAGCTGACGCGGCATCAGGCAGGCCCGGCCTCCGTCACCGAGCAGCGCGTGACGGTCAGGCCACCCCGCTCCCCGACCCCGTGGCCTCGCTGCTAATGCTCGGGATGCTCGTCGTTTCGGCTCTGACCCCTGCCTCAAGCTGGGTGGCTGGGGGCTTAAAACAGCAGGAACGTGTTCTCATTGTCCCAGAGGCTAACAGTCCAAGATCGGGGTGTCTTCAGGGCCACAAGCCCTCCAGAGGCTCCTGGGGACACTCCTGCCTTGCCTCTCCTGGCTTCCGGTGGCCCCAGGCGTTCCTGGGCGAATGCCTGCTTCCCACCAGTGTCTGTCCCCGTCTTCCCGTGGCCCCCCTCTGTGCCCTGTAAGGATGCTTAGTGGTAACGCGCGGTAACCCATGATGTCCTCTCGAGACCCGTAATTCTAACTTTGAAGAGCCTTTTCCCAAATGAGCTCACAGTCACAGGTTCCGGGACGTCTCCGGGGGGCTCCCACTCACCCCGCTGCATTGGGCCTCTGCCCGCACTGGGAAAGGAAGGCAGTCCACGACGTGACAATTGGAGCCGGTCCTGAGCTGGCGCAGCCCTCTGCCCTGTGTGAGAACGGCGTGGGCAGTGACAGACCCCGAGACGGCAGAAGGACCTGGCTTGGTCAGGGCTGCCGGGTCACCAGGCTCAGGGGCCGCAGAGCAGGGCCCGTCCCCAGGCCGAGCCCCGCCACTGCCCGCCTGCCATGCCCGGGCCCAGGCTGTCACAGCACGCAGCTCACCCCACAGCTATTCCCCGGGGCTACCCCCTCTGAGATAAATCAAGCCATAGCTCAGAAAAGGCCCTCGGTGGTCCCCCAATTTGCATGCCCCAGAGGAGGCTGCAAAGCCATTGTCTCTGCAAGCAGCCTGCTGTGGTCCCTTGCATTTTTTATGGGATCGTCCTTAAATGGCTGGTTAGTTTGGGGTGATTTATAAAAGCTTCGGGCACGGCAGTTTCCCCTTAGTGACTGGACAGGGCTGTGTCTGGCGTCAGCAGCCTCGGGTTTGTCGTTCGGCGCGTCTTCCACCCTCATCCTCCACCCTCTGCCCAGGGCTGTAAAATCGCCCGGTTTGGGCCATTTGCTCTTGGAACGGCAGAGAACCAGGGACGAGAGTTGCTTCCTCTCAGCCACTTGTATTCAGGGACGAGGGAGAGTCGCTCACCTTCCTGGGCCCCGGCCCAGTCGTCAGAAAACCGGAAAAGGAGACTTACTCGCTCTGCCACCTCCGGGGCTTGTCCCCGGAAAGCGCGTGGCTGTCCCCGGCTCGCAGCTGCCCCGGTGGCTGTTACCTGCTGCCGTGCCCCTTCGAGGCCGTGGCAGGAACGGGGGACGCCGAGCTCGATGCCCTTAGACGCGCGGATCCGCCCCCCCCCGCCTGTTCCTGCCGCGCGCCCCTCCCCCACTGCGTGCCAGTGCGTTTTGCTCTGATCGGTCACTGTGGAGGGGTCACTGTGTGACGCTCCCGGTACGCGCCGCCCGCTCAGACTCCAGGCAGCAGGGCGAAGCCCTCGAGAGTCGAGGCGCGTGTTCGGGGTGCATGCGTGTGTAAATGCCTCAGGACACGTGCGTGGGGGTGGGACACGTGTACTTGTGTGTCCTCTGCGTGTGCGTGTTTGCTGGAAGGGGATGGTAAGCAGGGACGTTACTCGTGTGGTGACCTCTGGGTACTTCTAGCCCCGACTGCCAAAGGCCCCGCGTAGCTCACTTCCATTTGCCAAGAGCCAGGTTCCCGGCACACGCTGGCACGTGGTCTGGGGGTTACTCGACATGACGCGTCGTCTCCCCGGGTGCCCTCGACTCATACCAAGGTAGCAGGGGACACTGGTGCCAGAGCCCTGTCCCTCAGCCTGTTTCTGGTTTCAGCCCAAGCCACAGGGGCTGTTCCGGGCAAGCTCAGGAGTGCCCGATCCACCGGTGTCCAGCCTCGAGGCGGCCCGTCTGCGCTCTGCCCCGGGGCTGGGCCGTGAGAGCTTGCCAGGGGCCTGAGGCCACCCTGACTGAGAGTGTGTGTGTGCACGCCTGTGTCTGCGTGCACACATGTGTGCCTGTGTGCATGTGTATGTGTGCGCCCGTGTGTGCATGCATGTGTGCTTGTGTGCACGTGCACATGTGTACCTTGTGTGCACACGTGCATGCACACGCGTGTGCCCATGTGCCCGTGTGCTTGTGCTTGCATGTGTGGCGGCCCCTGCAGCCAGCCTTGACCAGAGGGAGAGGGCAGCTGTTGTGTCACCGCCCGCCCTGCCCGGGTGCCTCTGCGGCGCCCCACCTGCTCGGAGCAGTCAGGGGAGCGCGGCCCCTCTGTGCACAGGCGTCTGGGACACGTGAGGTCCCCACATGAGCTTCCCCTCGCCTCCCACCCTGCTCTTGCTGCCACGTCCTGTGTTCTGGAATAAACCACCTGTCCCCGTGTCTGAGCACAGGCTCTGCTTCCGAGGAAATGAGAACAATCACGCGCCGCGTCGGCGGACAGGCCGCGCCGTGTCTGAGCCCCCCCGCCCCGTAGGCGGCCTGGTGGGGAAGGGCTACCCCGTGCGGGTGAGCGCAGGAGACCTGGGCGCCCGTTCCCGTGCGGTTCCCGGCCCCGCCCCTCCCCGCCGAGTGACAGACCTGCCCTTCCGTCCGTGTCACTAGAGGCTCCGGGGCACTCAGCACACGCTGTCCGGGAGCTTACTGAACGGTGTCACGCATGTAGAGCATGTGCAGGGACAAGGGGACAACCCGCTTCGCCACGGCCAGGCCTGCAGTTGTTGGAGGTGGGGCTGACGGTGGCCGATAGCGAGCATCCCTAAGCTGTCACTCACGGTGACTGTGCCCCGCCTGCTGCCCGAGCCCTTCGTCCTCCAGGACAGTGGCCAGCGTCCGTGGTGACCGTGGTGACCATGCCAGGACAGCGTGGCCCCTGGGGACCTGGGCAGTCGCTGCCTGCAGGGCCAAATGAGAATATCGGGGTTCACACAGGCAAGGAGGTCGCTGCCGTGCGCCGCTGGGTCCTGGGCCTCCCCGAGGGGTATTGTGTCCTGTTCACCAGCCACATGGGGCAGCGGCCCCTCCACGCGTGCTGGGTGTGTCTCCTAGCCCGGCCTCCATCTCAGCCGTGAACCGACCTGCCAGCCGGGAAGCAAGTGCCGCTGTGTTCCTGGGGTCCGTGGGCTGGCCCCCCGCAAAGCCGCCTGTGCCGACAGGGCAGCAGCTTCTCAGCAGAGAGGCCGGTCCGTGGGATGAGACTGCACCGCACGCCGGGGGAGGGGCACACGCAGTTAGGGATGGACGGAGGAGGCAGAGAAGCAGGCAGGGAGGGGCGAGCAGGCTGAGCCCGGGTGCAGAGCCGGAGCCTGTGCAAACCCAGCTCCTCGCTCAACTCGCTGTGTGACCTGGGGCCAGCCGCTTGACTTCTCTGTGCCTCGGTTTCCACAAAGCACAGGGCGCTCAGTGCGTGACCGTGTGTGTCCACAAAGTCCTCGAAGTGCCCGAAACAGAGCGACACCCATCGTCACGGGTCTGCAGAGGCAGACCTAGTGGGAGGGGCGAGAGGCACACGCCTGGGACATGAAATGGAAGGTGCCAACCCTCGGTGGGCAAGATGAATGTTGCTTTAATGTAATATCTTTTAAACATCAAAATCCATGGTGAACAAAATATCAACTATTTAAATAAAGGCGGGGCGCCACCTGCCTCACCTGCCACCCCAATCCAGGCCCCAAACATCCAGGAAACTTCATTTACAAAAGCAGACGGCCAACACAAGGTGGTAGTTTGAGGCTCTGATTTTCGGAAAGGGTTGTGTTAAAACACTCTCCTCGCTGAGTTTTTGGCACCCGCTTAAATTTTGTGCGCCTGGTGTGTGCCTTGCCTGCCTCTTCCTCGTCCCGGGCCTGGGTATTTGTGTTCGCCGAGAACCTCGGACATTCTACATCCTCTCTGACCTTAGAGCTCTTGAGGGCACGCAGGCCCACCCCCCACGCTGGGGACGCAGAGCGCTCATCGAGAGCACGCATGTGGCTCGGGGCAGCGAGTGGCTGCGGGAACTCCAAGGTCGGCTCGAGGTGAATCCCGGTCCAGGAGGAAAAACCAATCTGCCTGGGTGGATGCTCCCGCCCCCCGGAAAGTGTATTTTTGAAATGAAACTAAGTGCAGGGCGAAGGACAGGGCAGGGTGGGCGGGTGGCGAATGCGCCGTGAGCCGCGGCCTCCCCAGGGGCGTCCGGTGCTGTGTCCACAGCTCGGGTTTACTGGGGACAGCAGGTCACTTCCATTGTTTGCACGGCAGCAAGGACGTCACCGCCCCACAGAGGGGCCGTCAGGCTTCATGGGCTCATCCTGCCTGCAGAGCCGTCAAGGCTGCCCCTGGCGAGGAGACACACACCACAGCGTCCAGTGTCGTCACAGCCCCCATATCCTACACCTACACCCGGGGTGCGGGTGCAGGATGTGGGGTACAGCTGTGGGATGTGGGGTGCGGGGTGCATGGTGTGGGGTGTGAGTGTGGGGTGTGGGGTGTGGGTGTGGGTTTTGGGCGTGGGGTGTGGATTGCAGGTGTGGGTGTGGGGTGCAGGGTGTTCGTGTGGGGTGTGGGGTGCGGGGCGCTGGCTCTGGCGGTGAGGTGTTGGGCCGCTCGCTGCCCCCCCTCCCGTGTGTCCCCCTGAACTGCCGCACGTGCTCTCAGGTTCATCATCAGCACCCGGTTTCGTTCCTCGATGGGACTGGGCGTTGCGGAAAGAAATACAAGATAAAGAAACAGTTCGCGATGAAATGAAACCGGAGTCTTTGTAGATCCGTGTGTACATTTGGAGACTCGCGAAGCGTCTCACCCTGTCAGGACGCGTTTCCCTTATTTCGACCGAGTTTGTGAGTGGGACGCGTCCAGAGGTCCCCTCTGGTGTCATAATGTCGGTAGCTCCTCGGAGAGCTGCTGTCTGCAGGCGCAGGGCTCCTGCTGCCCCTCCGGCCTGGGCGGGGCTCTGGGGGTCGCCCGCTCTCCCCTCCTCCTCTGTGCGTCTGGCCAGCCCCCCGGGTCACAGGTGAGGGAGGATGACGCCCTCTGGCCCGGCCCCCTCCTGCCTGGCAGCTCCAGTGGCCTGGGCTGCTGGCCCTCCTGGCCCCCCAAAACCCCGGGGGCGGGGCTCCTGTGCCCTCTGCTCTCCTAACACCGGCTGGGCCACCGCCTCTGTCTGGGGACTAGATCCGCCCAGGCCCGGCCTCGCCCCCATGACTGACAGGGCGGTGCCTGCACCCACCTCCCTTGACACTGGCTCTGATTCGCGTTTGCCTCAAGTGGGCACAAAACACCAGGCAGCGTCACATCGAGAGGGAGCAGGTGGGAGAGACGTCCCGGGGGCCAGCGGGGCCAGCCGCGCCCCGTCCTGTCGGACGCGCTTTGCCAGGACTGGGACCCAGGGCCTCACAGCAGGGCTTTGGCACAGACACCTGTCCCCTCAGGGCGCCAGGCTGGACGTTCAGAGATGGCGAAGTCGGAGACACGGGTCCTCCCAGGGCTGGGCGGGCGAACCGATGCCCACCCCCTGCACCCGGGTTTGTGGCAGCCGCTGGCCTTCCTCGGCGGGGGGCACCCCGACCACTGCCTCCGTCTTCACGCGGCCTCTCCCCGTGTCCACGCGACTCCCCATTTCCCTGTTATGAGAGGGCGCCAGTCTTGGCGGCTTGGCGGGGGCAGGAAAACCTGCCCATCGCCTGACGTGAGCACGTGGGACGCAAGGCCAATGGTCACACGGCAGCCGTCTCCACAAGGACTGGGTGGGCACTGGCGCCCTGACCCACAGGGAAGCCGAGCGGGAGCGCGAAGGCCGGGCACACAGCCACGGTGAGTCCCTGCTCGCGACACGGCGATGACCTCTGGCGTCTCTCCCGATTTCTTTTAGGACTTGATTTGCCACATCGAAGTTGGGAAGCCTCACATGAGATTTTTATTGCCAGCCATTAGCGACAAAGGAAGTTAAAAATACGTTGGAATGGAAGGATCTGGAGTCGGTTTACCTGCGTGTTTTTTCTCATCTCCCTCTGCTTTTTCATAAGGGGCACGTGCTGACCCCTAAATCCTGAGGCTCACGGGGAGCCCTGGTTAGATCCCTCTGCTCTACTGATGCTGTCCAGTTGTTCAGGTGGCAGTTTTGTCCTTGAGGCCACGTAACCTCCCCCTTTGTCCTTAAACGAGACACAGGAGGGGAGCAAAGGTGCTTCCCCGAAGGCACCACGGGCTTCTATGTCCAGTGGCGACTTTTATCTCGCCTGACTGGTGTCTGTTCTCTGTGAAACCTTAACCGAAAGAAAGGGCCTGAGGTCCTAGTGCTGGGGACGGGGACAGGGCTGCTCGGGGAGCCAGGACCTGGGGCTGCTGGCTACTGGCCTCGGGTGCTGGAAAGCCACAGCCCCAAGAGTCCACTGTGTGCAAAGCTCGCTTCGCAGGACGGTTAGAGTCAGGTCGTGGACGTGGCATCTCTGCGTGCCGGCTCTGTCTTGGCAAGGGACAGATGTCTTGACGGGAGAAGTAAGTAGAACAACTCACCTTCCTCAAGGCGTTTTACTGCCAGTATGACAGTAATTTAGCTCAAGATTTTGGCCCCAAAGGAGGCATTCTGGCTGGATGGGTTCTGTGGGATGACTCTGTCTGGGGGTCTGACAGGGCGAACCCCTTCCTGACCCACCGTGCTCACCTGTCTCCTCGGGTCTGACAGCTGAAATGGCTGTGAGCCCACACTCAGGAAGCGCCGTGCGGCAAGCCCGGGGGTGTGCAGTCTGAGATACGAATGTGAAGCCCACGTGCTCGGGGTCCTGTGCTTCTGGGGAAACGCTGCAGTTTTCAGCTGCATCTCAGCGGTGGGGAGTTGGGCCTCGTGGCGGGGAGGCTGGCTGTGACCCACAGGCCTGCCCGCGGCCACTCTCGTTGACAGGACCGGGCCAGGGGAGGCCTCTGCCAGGCAGTCTGACCCCTTGGGCTCGCAGACAGACCTGCGTTCACACCTGTCTCCTGGCCGCATGGTGAGGACCCAAACGTCTCAGTCAGCCAAGGCAGCAGGTCACACAAGGAAGGAAACCAACACCGCAAACGGCCTTTATTTTCGAGGCACCACTGCAAAATGAG